TGGCATTTTCTCGACACCACAGGGGGTGCGCAGAGGGGGGGTCTCTCTCCGCGGTCTCAAGATATGCCCCGATCGTCCAGGCACAGCAGGCGTGGCAGTTGCTCGACACCACAGGGGATGCGCAGGGGGTGGTCTCTCACCGCCGTCTCTACACGCCCTGGTCGTCCAACCACAGCAGGCGTGGCAGCTTCTGGACACCATAAGAGGTACGCAGGGGGTTGTCTTTCACTGTGGTCTCTATATACGCCCCGGTCGCCCAGGCACAGGAGGCGTGGCATTTTCTCGACACCATGAGAGGTACGCAGGGGGTGGTCTTTCACTGTGGTCTCTATATACGCCCCGGTCGCCCACGTACAGGAGGCGTGGCATTTTCTCGACACCACAGGGGGTGCGCAGGGGGGGGTCTCACCGCCGTCTCTGCACGCACCGATTGTCCAGGCACAGCAGGCGTGGCATTTTCTCGACACCACAGGGGGTGCGCAGGGGGTGGTCTCTCACCGCCGTCTCTACAAGCCCCAGTCGTCCAACCACAGCAGGCGTGGCAGTTTCTCGACACAGGGGGTGCGCAAGGGGTGGTCTCCCACCGCGGTCTCAAGATACGCCCGATCGTCCAGGCACAGCAGGCGTGGCAGTTTCTCGACACCATAGGGGTGCGCAGGGGGCACCGCGGTCTCTGTACGTCCCAGTCGTCCAACCACAGCAGACGTGGCAGTTTCTCGACACGATAGGCGATCCGCCTGCCTACCTACACCCTCCGTCTCTTCCGTTGTCGCCATGGCTCAGGCTGTTGATTGCACAGTGCGTCAGTCTCCCAAGGCTTGACCGTCGTCACCAATGGCATCGGCGGGGCAGCGAACACCAGCATCATGTTCCCTTGTTTCACTTTAGCTATCACCATTCCATACATCATAGAAGTATGTGGGATTCCTCGGTCGCGCAATTGTCGGATGGGCCACTTCCCGCAATGAAGCTGTATTTGTTCAGGGACCCATGACGAGAGAACTTGGACGGAGTGTGTATTGCAACGTGGTTGATGGTTGATGCGTCGTGGGTTTGCACCGGTCCTCCTCTTCGTCCTCCTGATGTTTGCGTTGGGCAAACTCATGTTGCTTAGCTGGAGCGCTTGTCCGTAAAAATGAGCAAGTGTCCGACTTAGGCGAAGTGGGCAAATACAGCGCGGACAGGTTCAGATCAGGTGGTCAAAGAGAAAATTATAATAATAGTTGCCTGACAGGGCATCGAGTACCGTGTTGCGCGGCAGTGCGAAGTAGGGAGGAGGGTGCAATTTTAGATAAGACAGTAATTATACCTGATCATGAGGAGTACTCCGAAAGAGTAGGGGTCTGGTTGCAGTTGCAGGCGGCATCGCCAGTCATCTAGATGAGGCAGGTCTTGTCGAAGTATACCCCGTAAAGTTAAACAAGGCCGTTGTCAGTTGGTACTCCCCCACCACAGCCGCATGATGTTGCCAACCTCCGCCACCGCCCAGAGTGAGGTAAACGACCGAGACATCTGCGCTGTGCGTACAGGCCGGCACGTGCTTTAGGTCGGGCATGTCCCTCTACAGGGTGAATATTCAGAAATAGTCAAAAGTAGTATGGGGAATATTTTTTGAATATTTTTGAGCATTTCAAAAATATGTTTGACTATCTTTAATGTTTCGTCCAACATCTGCCTGTAGGGGGACACACGCCCGACCTCACACGTGCTGTGCGGGCCGACCGAAGAATGGGGGCAGACTGACGCAACTCGTTAACGGAGCGGGATCTCAAGGATCGGTTGGAGTAGGTTGGCACCGTCAGAGCGGGCTAGCCTCAGCATGGGTGAACGGGCGAGTTGGGTTAAAGTAGGACAGGCAGGCTTAAATTAGGCAAAGGATGAATGGCATAAACATGACAACTCGGAGGTCCGGGGGATTTCTCGGATCGGCGCTGGAACCCCCTGGCGGCGCCTCCGGCGCCGCCCCTGGCGCGTTCCCCGCGCCAGGGAGGGGGTCCAGCGCGGATCCGAGAAATCCCCGCGGACATCCGAGTTTTTATGTTTATGCTGTTTTTCGTTCCCCTATAAAAGGACGAATTGGGTTGAAATAGGGCAGGCAGGCTTGAATGATGCCACAAGCATTCTCAACCATACTTCCACCGTCTAAGCCCAAACCCCTCCCCATCACATAGCCTGTGAGGCGGCCACGGTATGATTGCTGTCCAACAGGGCGAAAGTACGAGCAAGTTTATAAGTAGGTGAGCTTTATTTTGATATGGCAGTGCTGTGGTGGGCTGCTGGTATTGACTGGTCCTGTCTGTGCAGGCTGGCCACTGGCGTCAAAACATGTTGCGCGTGGGCCTCGTGGGCCCATGCCATTAGAACGACATCAGTCCCCCCCACACCACCCCAGTCCTCATCACCCCATCCCGTGCACCAATCCCATTGGTGTGTGCTGGCCGTAGGCTGACACTGTCGTTGCAGGCTGGCCTGAGTAAATTGATGAGAGCGAGCGCTGCAAAGTTGTTGGACTACTGGATTGGCACTGCCAGTACAGGCTGACCCAGCGCGTCCAAGCTGAATGTGGTACGTCGTAAGGCACGCGTCATACACTTATCAAGTTGACTGGGAAAGCAGTGCCGCCTTCCAGTCTGGTGTCGTAGCTGCCCTAGCAGCGGGCAGTGATGGTACAACAAGTCAGTAGGCGTGCAGCAATATATCTTCTCAATCCTAATTTGCAGTAGTTTGACGCAGGATTGTTTTCGTGGATCACCAATCCTTATTGGAACGCAACACGGAAAAGGATGGCCTCTGCGCAAGGATGGCACGCACAAGCCGAGAAGTGTACACAACATGTGAGCGTGTAACAGTAGCTTGACGCAGTGTAAAAGGTGTTCATCGGGTGGTTCGGGGTCCCCAACGTACGTGGAGGGCCCGCTCACAAGGATTTCAGGGAGGGGTGCTACTTCAAGCGCCTTCCTTTTTCAATAATCGATATGTTTTTGCTGCGTGTTGTTATTCTCTGGGTTGGCCCGTACCCAATCTATTTGATCCACCTTCGTACTTCATGTCTTTACTTCTTTCTTCCAACCGACGTGTACGTGCCTCATCCACCCCTCCAAGCCCCTTGCCACTATAGTAGGAAGGGAGACGACCGAAGCGACAGATGGGTAAAGCCGTCCTCCTCCTCCTCCTCCTCCTCCTCCTCCTCCTCCTCCTCCTCCTCTCCCTCCGCCTCCTCCCTCTCCTCTCGGGGACCGACGTTCGATCCATAGCCTTGCTGTTTCTGCTAGGGGAGCAGGGCACGGATGACAACTTCGACCTCCAGGGGCTTCCCTTTCCTCCTCCTTCTCCTCCTCCTCCTCGTCCTCCTCCTCTTCCTCCTCCCCCTCCTGCTCCCCTTCCTCCTCCTCCTCCTCCTCCTCCTCCTCCTCCTCCTCCTCCTCCTCCTCCTCCTCCTCCTCTCCGCCCCCTCGTGGAGTTCTGGCGTGGGTAAGGGCATGGATCAGATGTCGATTGTTTGTCCTCTGTCCCCCGTCCCCCTCCGCAGCCGCCGCCGCCGCCGCTCCCCCGTACCTTCCGCCCACATGTCCCGTCGCCTTGAGGTACAGTCGGCCCTGATCAGTAGGTCGACCCAGCCAGATCGAGGGTACCCTGTCCTGTGTTTCGCGACCCATGCCTCCTGCATTCCTATGGCAACCTGGCCCTCGGAAGGGTCGTGTCCTCTCGCGTGTCCCCTCCACTCAAATCTGATTGTAACCCTGGGAAAACGGTACAGTCGGGGCGCTGAAGAAGGAACCCTCTTCGTTGGGGAGGGGCTCGTTTGTTCTACAATTGCCCTCGGTAGGCTTTCTATGGGAGATCGAAGTTTATCTCATGGAAGAAAAGGGGCCTCGTTCGTTACTTAGGGTTCTTTAGGTCAACGCCCCGACTGTGTCGTCCCCCCCCTCTCCGGTGAAACCATACCGAGCTTCGCCCTTGGGAAGGCTGTCCGACCCGCGCACGCCCCCTCTTCGATGAAACTATTATCGAGCTTCGCCCCTGCAAGGGCTGCCCCGCCGCCGGGACCCCATCGTCGCAGGTTCCTACGAAAATTTTAGTATCGGGAGCCTTGAGAGGGGGGTCAATGCAACCGGGGGTCAGCCAGAGCGCCCGATCTTGCAGGATCCTGCAGGGCCAGAGTCGCATTGACCCGGGTTTGGGAGCAGGATCCTTCAGGATTTTGCAGGATCCTTCGCATTGACCTGGGCTTGGGCGCAGGATTTTGCAGGACCTTGCAGGATTATGCAAGGCCTGACTGACCCGGGTCTGGATTGACCTGGGTCAGAAGATCCCCGACAGGAGCAGCCCAATGAGAGGTCAATTGTGTTGCGACAGGAACCCAGTAAAATCTCAATCGGATCCCAATTGGATTCTGATAGGGTTCTACGAGATCCCGTCTCCAGGCCGCTTCCAAACACCGCCCCCCCCCCAGAATGCTGTAATACATTAGCTTGCCGTGGTGCTAACGGTATCATTCGGCGGTTCCCCCCCTCGGGAATCAACGGAGCACTTCAAAAGTACGGATAACGCAAGGGAAATCGATAATTGCTTCCCACGGTCATCATCCCTGGCCCTGCCCACGGGCCACCTGGGCAGCGTGTGCAAGGGAAGGGGCGGGACAGAGAGCGGCCTTCGGAGAGGACAGGGGGCTTGGCCGCCTCTCCGAGGCCTCCCTGACATGGGCTTTCTGGGAGGGCGCCGGTCCCTTCCACGACCCCCCCCCCCTGCCCACGTTCGGGTCGGGCGAAAGGGGGGGATTGGGAAAGGGGGGGTTACGAAATTTGCTGCATGCAGCTGGTTTCGGCCTCACCGAGGGGCCCATTCCTCGATACATGGTCGCCTCCGGCGCCGAGAGGCGCCGGGAAAATCAGCTACGCGAGCTGATTCTCAAACCCCCCCTTTGCCATCCCCCCCTTTCGCCCGACCCGACACGTGCTGGGCGGGAGCCCTCCGCCCCTCGGCGCCGCTCGGAGGCCACAATGCAGCTGCGCTGCCTGCTGGCGGCCCTGCTGGCGGCGGGGCTGCCCGGGCAGTGCCAGGCCGAGGGGGGTCGGGGCCCGAGAGTCGGGGGCGGCAAAGAGGAGGGGTGATGACTAGGGGGGTGGAGATCATGGCGGCGGCCATGATATCTCCCCAGATTTCATGGTGCCTCTTCTTGTTTCAATACGTCCCCGGCCCCCCCTTGGGCCGCACACGTGCCGCTGGCCATGATTTGCACCCTCCCTTCTTGGACGCCCCCCTCTTGGCCGCCCCCGAATGAGGCGGGGGTCAATGCAAACGGGGGTCAGCCAAAGCGCTGGATATTGCAGGATCCTGCAGGGCCAGGGTTGCATTGACCCTGGTTTGGGTGCAGGGTCCTGCAGGATCTTGCAGGATCCTGCGAGGCCTGACTGACCCGGTTCTGGATTGACCCGGGTCAGGAGATCCCCTGAGGGGGGGAGAGGGTCGGACGGGGCCAGGACGAGGATCAATTTGTTCCAGGGCGCGCCCGGAACGGTCTCAGCGCGTTCCGGAACGCGCTGAGAAGGCCGCGGCGCCCGAGACATCATCCAGATCCGTCAGACCTCAAAGATTTTCGATCCATCCTTACCTACCACAAACCACCCAAACCCAACCCGACGGCTTCAATTTGCCCTCCATATTTCCAGTGGGGGGGGGGCGGGGAACATTGAAAAAACACAGATGGGACCCCTGCAGTCGGGGCGCCGAAGAAGGAACCCTTTTCGTTGGGAAGGGGCTCGGTGTTCCTTGATTGTTTACAGTTTGTCTCAGGTGTTCCTGAGGTTTTCCGTGGAAACTCGAAATTGAACTTAAGGGGGAAAGGGGCCTCGTTCCTTATTTAGGGTTCCTTAGGACAGCGCCCCGATGTTAGCCCATCCCAACCCAAAATTCGGGTCTTCGGGCTTGGTTGGGGTGGTCTGGTAGGTAGTTCTTACCTCATGTTGCTCCAGCACTTTTAGCCTTGACTACCAGAAAGAATTTCGAGCACCAAGAAAGTACCGACACTTGAAGGTTTTCACGTGTCGGTCGGGCCTTGGGAGACACTCGTTCGACACTGCTTCGACCTTGTTTCGACCCTTTTCCGGGTGCTCGAAATTATGTCTGGCATGGAGGAGGAGGAGGAGGAGGAGGAAGAGGAGGAGGAGGAGGAGGAGGAGGAGGAGGAACAAGAGGAGGAGGAGGCCCATGGGCAGCCCATCGGCGGAAGGCTGAGGCCAGGGAGGATACTGGGGTCCGCACAGCAGAGGCCTCCCGCCCTCCCTCTGCGCTCCTTCCCTCATGGGATCCTCGAGCACGACTGGAGCCACATAGTCCTCACCAGATCAGATCCTCCTCCTGGCTTCGTCTTGGAGGGAGGGGGGGGGCGCCGTGGCCACGGGAGGGGCACGGGGGGGGGGACTGGGTCCGAGGGGGGGCGGAGGCTGGGGAGGAGCAGGAGGAGGAGGAGGAGGAGGAGGAGGAGGAGGAGGAGGACACGGACGAGGAGGAGGAGGAGGATGGAGGAGGAGGAGGAGGAGGAGGGAGGAGGAGGAGGAGGAGGAGGAGGAGGAGGAGGATGGAGGAGGAGGGAGGATGGAGGAGGAGGAGGAGGAGGAGGAGGAGGAGGAGGAGGAGGAGGAGGAGGAGGGAGGAGGAGGAGGAGGGGGAGGGGGAGGCGGAGGAGGTGGGGAGACTTGGCGGGGAGGAGAAGCGGAGGGAGGAATCCGAACGAGGAGGAGGCGCGGACGAGGAGGAGGGCACGAGGAGTGGGCCGGGAGGGAGCAGGAGGAGAGGGAAGCTGAACACCCCGAGATCGACGCTACGGGCGCACCTCTTGCGCCCTCCAGCCTGCGCAAGAAAAGGACCTCGAGATAGCCAAGCAAGCGGAGAGAGGCGGGCAGTGCGGGGCCGCCTGCCGACGCCCTCGGGCAGGGCCCGTCCCGGCGCTGTGCTCCCCCTGCGTTCGGGGGCCGCGTCGTGCGCGGCCGCTGGAGCTTACACAGCGACACCGGCTGCACCTCAGAGTGTCGGGGGTGGACAGAACCCCCAACAGTGACATGTCGATTAGTGAATCGTCCGTTTTCGGTTCTTTCCAGGCTTTGCGCCCGCCAGGTTTGGGCCTCAGAACGTTTTCACTAAACCACGTTTTACTAGAGGTCTGTCCATCCCCGAGAGTGACCCTTCGCTGGATGGCCTTGGATGCAGGCCAACGGGCCCCCCCGAGCGCCGAACGCGAGGCGGTAGTGGCGTCTTGCGCACCTCGGTTTGCCCCCCCCCACCCACCCCCACTCCTTGTGTTCCCCCAAGGGCCGCGCGCCAAAGGTCGCTCTGACCCAGGGTGTAGTCGATTGCGCCTTGTGAGAAGGTAGCACCCCGCGCTTGCGGATAAGAGTGATGGGGCGGGCGCAGGGTGGGTCGCGCGTGGGTCGCAGGGTGGGTCGCGGGTGGGTCGCAAGCGGGACGCGGGCGAGGACGACAAAAACGCAGCAACACAAGAAGCATAATCCGCCGGAGGGAACGCCGCTTTTGCCACGCACATGGACAGATAATGACCGCTTCGGCCCCACAATTCTGTTGACTCTCTTCTCAACCCTAACATCGTGCGGAAAATGGTCGGCCCGCTCCGCGTAGATTGTGTGTTGTGAGTAGCGTGTGTGTGTGTGTGTATGTGTGTGTGTGTGTGTGTGTGCGTGCGTGTGTGTGTGTGTGTGTGTGTATGTGTGTGTGTGTTTGTGTGGTGTGCTCTATTTGTGTGTGTGTATATATATATATATATATATATATATATATATATATATATATAGGCCAGGGGGGGGGGCAAAATGAGTGCCGTCATCCCCCATGGCCAGCCCCCCCGAACCTTTGGGGGGTCACAGTCCCCCCCGGACTGCCCCTGGCCGCTTCCAGACTGCCCACGACGGGCCACGCGGGCCGTACAGATGGTCACGAAAGCTTGAAGTGGCCCCGAATACGCCCAAGGGCGCCCCAAGAGCGCCCGAGATGGCTTGAAGATGGCCGATGAGGGCCCCAAGAGGGCCTTCAAGAGGCAAAAATCGGCCCATTCCCTTGGTAGAACGTACATGTTCAGCATACTCGCCGGCTTCGTCTTCACAGTGCCCCAGACGCCCCCGCGGAGCCCCAACACAGCCCAAGAGAGACCCAAGAGGGCCCCAGACTGCCCAAAAAGATCGTCCCGTCGGGCTCGCGGAGCCCCCCGAGACGGCCCAAGAAGCACCAAAGCCGGCCCAGGAGGCCCCCAAGACGGCCTCAGAGAGGCCCGAGAGGGCCTCGTTCGACAACATGTTCTCCGAAGCCTCTCCGGGAACATGACTTCCTGGTTTCCAGGACGCCCAAGAGGCCCACAAGACAGCTTCAGCGAGGCCCCAGAGGGCCCGAGATGGCTTGAAGATGGCCGAAGAAGGCCCCGAGAGGGCCTTCAAGAGGCAAACATCGACCAATTCCTTCGGTAAAACGTACATGTTCAGCATACTCGCTTGCTTCGTCTCCAGAGTGCCCCAGACGCCCCCGAGGAGCCCCAAGACAGCCCAAGAGAGACCCAGGAGGGCCCCAGACGGCCCAAAAAGATCGCCCCGTTGGGCCCACGGAGCCCCCGAAGACGGCCCAAGAGGCCCCGAAGCCGGCCCAGGAGGCCCCCAAGACGGCCTCAGGGAGGCCCAAGAGGGCCTCGCTCGAAATCATGTTCCCGGAACCGGGAACATCGTTTCCGGGTTCCGAGGACGCCCAAGAGGCCCACAAGACAGCTTCAGCAAGGCCCAGGAGGGCCCGAGATGATTTCAAAATGGCCGAAGAGGGCCCCTTTAAAAGGTACAAATCAGCCCGTTCCCGTAGTAATACGTACATTTTCAGCATACTCGCTTGCTTCGTCTTCGCAGAGCCCCAGGCCCCCGAGGAGCCCCAAGACAGCCCAACAGAGACCCAGGAGGGCCCGAGACGGCCCAAAGGGTCGGCCCGTGGGGCTCACGGAACCCCCGAAGACGGCTGGCCCCAAAGCCAGCCCAGGAGGCCCCCAAGACGGCCACAGGGAGACCCAAGAGAGCCTCGTTCGAAATCATGTTCCCGGAAGCTTCCCCGGTGTGAATGTGACATGTGAAAGCGCGGGGTGCGCTTTCCAGTGCTCTATGTGCTTAGCTGAGAACCCGAGACCCCTTTTCCTTAACCGTTTGGGTTCAAAGGGAAGGGGGTCCGTCGACCCCCTTCCAGGAGTGCAGCTTGTCATGTACTGAAAAGGTGTTCGCTATCTTTACCTCCCGGTCAGAGTATTTCAGATTGTTTCAGATATCTTGGCAAGCTTCGATGTCTTGGGAACCGTCCACATGTGGTAAGCGGAGCGACGGCTACGACGGCAGTTGTGATGATGTCACGTGGGAACGTGTCGAAGACGAACCTCAGGAGAACGATGAGGGCGACGGGGAGAAGTTGAGATGGTTACAGTCACGAACGAGATGGCAGCGAGGCGGACAGCACGACAGCATGAAGGGCGACTCGTGGGACCCCTGGGCGACGCGGAACGGCAGCTCAGTTCATTGGGATCGAACGTGGAGTCAAATGTCCAATTGGGGTGCTTGGAAGTGGCCAAGCGAGGACGACGACCCAGGGGGTTCGGCAGGGAAGTACGAGTTGCGAGGCAAGGGCGGCTCAGGCGGCTCGGAAACGGACTCGGAGAGGTCAGTGCAGTCGAGAGGGTTCGGTACGCCAGAGCAGGTGAAGAAGACGATGGCAGAGGTGCACGGAAGACTCGAGTCAGGCGGGGAGCACGAGCAGCACGACCAGCGACGTGGAGATCGTAAAGGAAAAGACCCACCTTGCCCGACTTGGGACGGAAAGGACTTCAGCGAGTGGCCAGAGAAGAGGCTGGCCATAGACAGATGGAGCAGATTGACGGCGGTACCACCCGAGGAGCAGGGCGAGACCCTGCTACTGCACTTGACGAAGGATGCGGCGACGGCGACGAGGCACCTACGACCAGGTTCGGTACAGTACGCAGGCGGTCTACAGGCAGTCAAGTCATTTTGGCATTGGACACGCTTGCGTTCCCAGAGGCAGACGCGGAGACCTTCCAGCAGTTGGAAAAGACTCTCTTTGCCGCCCCTAGGGCAAGAGGAGGGGCGCTGATGAAGTTCACCAATCGAGCGCCAGCGGAACAGAGAGAGTTAGAACGGCGACCCCCCAACGCATTGAACGACACGGTAATGGGTTTCTTGCTACTGCGAGGAGCGGACCTGGCCAAGACTGAAAGGAACCAGGTCCTCATCCAGGCAGGCTACGACTACACTGCCAACAAGTTAGTCTCGATTCTGAAGCGGATGGCGGACGGCAGCACGGTGACTGAGAAGAGCACACCGACAAAAAGGGGCATACCTGGCGGGAACCGACGAGGACGAGCCGCTGATGTCCGAGGACGGTGACGCAGAGAGTTTTGTGTACGACGCGATGGCCAACCTGCTCGGGATAGACGACGATGGAACACCCGACGGACAAGAACCAGCTGACGATGGAGAACGGATCCTGACGGAGGTCGAGGCGCTCGACTGCCTCGCGCCCATCGCCCCACAACCGACGAAGCCGCGGACTTGGGGCGAGGCTCGGAAGATCGTGGCGGACAAGAAGACCAATCGGGGATTTCGCTACCTGCAGGACGGCAAGGAGCTCAATGATAAAATAGAGGACATCAAGAAGCGCACGAAGTGTGGCATATGTAAGTAGGTTGGACACTGGCATCGAGAGTGCCCCGACAATCCCAAGAATAAGAATAAGCCCGCGGGAGATTTCGTCGCCATGACGGCGCTGCAGGACGACGAGATCTGCAACTGCATCGCGACAGAGGCGAATATGGCGTCAAGGTCGAACCTCGTAGAGCACATCAACCCGGCGATTGACATCAAGACGTCGGGCAGGCCGGGCTGGGGAGCACTTGACACGGCCTGCGGTTTCAACATGATGGGGCTGGGCACCTACGCGGAGTGGGAGATACAGTATAAGAAGGAGCATGGCATCGCGCTGCAGACGATCCCGTACCACAAGAAGCACAGGTCCGGCAATGACCAGATCTGCACGGCGACGGACGGGGTGATCATCCCGATCATGTTGGGCGACCTCGTTGGTATCATTTTCGTGTGTTTGGTGCAGGGGGCGGCTCCACTTTTGTTGTCCGGGACATTTGTAGTGGAGCTGAAGGCGTCCCTCCATGAATTGCTGTCTGAGTTGGATTTGCCTGAGCAGGGCCTGCGACTCCCTTTGGCGCGCGCTGGAGGGGGCGCTTCTTGTTGCAGCTGGGTAACTTCACGAAGCCGTGGAGCAAGCCTGAAAGCTGGACACTGTGCACCAAAGAGGTTTCGATGGATTTCAGTTCCAGGACCGAGTATAAGCATCCTTCCACCTTCCTCATCTCTGAGGACCTCTTGAACGACAGTGAGGACCTGAAGGAAAGAGGCTGTATGTTTTCAAGTGTTGAAGTTGGAACAAAACAACGGGCAGCAAACTGTGGGACAGCCGAGAGCGCCAGACAAAAAGCAACACAAATAGGCAGACTATTGCAAAGGGGGGATTCTCAGGAGGAATGCATAGACAGAAGGCTCAGGTTAACAAGCCCAAAATGGACAATAGCAAGCACGTGAACAGCATCAACAACAAGCACGTGAACAACATAACTGCCGTGAACAGCATCAGCAGCAGGTTCGAGAACAGCATACATGACGAGAACAGCATCAACAACAATCACCTGCACAACATAAATGACAACATCGCCCAGTTCCGTCAGCAGTTAGGCTCGAGCCGAACGAGCAGCACGTCTTTGGACTTACTTCCATATTTCCATGTCATGCGACGAGCGCTCGCAGCACTCATCTTCCTCCATGCAGAATAAGGCATCGCCGCGGAGGGAGCGGCAGTCGGACGACAAAAAGAGCCAGGCCAAGACGACGGCGCCGAAAGCACGGACCTCGTCGGGAACTCCACGAGAGCCTTCGACACGCAGCAGCGCGCCGAGGGCCAGGAGGGGGCCGAGATCGAGATCCAGACCGATCTCGAGGCAGTCGGGAGGTCCACCTGCAGAGCCGGAGGATCAGATCGATCTGACGGAGACGACCGAGCAGGAGGAGTGGAAAACGCGGGACGAGGAGGTGCAGGACCAGTCACCTCGGAGCAAGGCTCCGATCGCCTTGAAGGAGCTACTGCAGGACGAGAACGCCAACGCGACGACCAACCAGCTGGTGGAATCTGCGCGGCCACCTCGGGGCGGACATCAGCGACCAGTAGACGAGATGACCGAGAAGGAGGAGCGGAAGATCAGCAAGGCGCTCAAGGTGTTGGGCGAAACGGACCAGATGAGGGAGGCCATGGAGGACGCGATTCCTGAGTGCACCGCCTTCCTAGGCCAGCTGGACGAGCAGGTTCACGACGACGACGAGATGATGGCGACTGGCGGGGGTCCCTTGCGCGAAACTACAGAGCGGAAGCATGTGATGGCCGTGGCAGGACATCACTTACTGGCGAGAAGTGGGCAGAAGGAGGCTTGGAACATGATCAACAGTGCGAGTCCCTTACGCGTGATCATCAAGCCGCCCAAGGACATCTACCACAAGAAGCTCAAGGAGAAGATCGGCAGGGACGTGATGACCTTCATGTCGGACATGGCGATCCAGCAGGCGATAACGGCAGGTGCTTCTACTACGAGCAGGAGGAGAGCTCTCGAGAATGGGATGACCCGCTCATCCAGAAGCTGAGGCGGCTGCCCGAGGTCTTCTCGGGGAAGGCTAATGCACGAGGACGGGCATGTTTGACCAACCTGCCTGGCCAGGCGTCAGAGTACGGGAAGATGCTGAGTCAGGAGTTCGTGCAGGGCTCTCTGCAGAACAAGCTGGGGGACGTGCCGATACCCCTGCAGGAGCTGACGGGAGCTCTGGCACGAGCTATCGCGAGGGCCAAGATGAGCGATCTGGCGACCGTCGAGACGAAGATGGACGACGCAAATTCCAGTTTACAGTGTGCGTCTTGTTGTACGGCGCCTGTCTCCAACAACAAGGACGAGAGGAGCGCGGATCCGCGCGTCAAGCAGCAGGTCCAGAAGATGCACGAGAACATGGGTCATTGCAGTAACGAGAATGTTGTGATGGTTTTGAAGCATGGCAAGGCTCGCCAGGCCTTCATCGAGGCCGCGCAGCATCTGGTTTGTCCAAGCTGTGAGGCAAACAAGCGTCCCAGGCTGGCCAAACCGTCCAAGGCCCCCACGACCTACCAGTTCAACGGCGTCATCGGCATGGACATCTTCTTCGTCCTAGGTCTTGGGAACACCACCAAGGTGCCGATGCTCAACATCGCGTGTCACGGAACGGGGCACCAAGTCGCGATACCGGTACCGAGTAGGCAAGGGCAGCAGATCAGGCGTCAGTATCGGGCTTTCTGGAAGCGCGTGTACGGCACTCCGAGGGTCATCGTGATCGACGGCGAGAAGGGTTTCTCAACGGGCGTGTTTCCAGATGCAGCCGGAGGAGACAGCACGGAGGTGAAGGTGACGAGTGCTACCTCGCCATGGCATGCGGGTAAGACTGAGAGGGCTGGGGGGCACCTGGAAGGGGGCCTTCTACCGCGCCAGGCAGACGTTCAACACCAAGAACCAAGAACTGGGACGACTTCTACGAGCTGGTCGACTCAGTCAACGTTGCGATTGGAGAGAGTGTGCGCGGTGGTTTCGCGCCTTATCAGAGAGTCTTTGGAAGGCCCTTTCAATTGCCAGAGAAGATATTGGAGGAGGGCTCGCCGAGTTTGGCGACGGTATCTCGAGCCATGAACGGAGACGCCGAGCTTGCCAGGAGCATCGGCATGCGCAAAGCAGCCATGGCAGCGTACATCCAGGCGGGATGCACCGAGAAGTGGCGACGAGCTCTCAATAGAAGGACTCGACCGCAGAGGGGGCACTACTTTTCAGCCTGGAGGTCGCTGCTATTTCTGGAGGAGTAGTACGGGCAAACTACCCGTCAGCTCCTGGCATGGCCCAGCACGGGCCATCCAGACCGAGCTGCCAAGCACGGTGTGGTGCTCGTACCAGGGCGGGCTACTGAAATGCTCACCAGAACAGCTTCGACATGCCAACGAGGGTGAGATCTCCGCCTGGGAGCAGATCGACCACACGATGAAGGAGGAGGTGAGCACCGAGAACCGCGGCAGGCGCAAGTATGAGGACCTGACCAAGCAGCCCGCGCCCTCGGAGGAGGAGGTTCAGGACGACGTACCTCCGACAGCACCCCCAGAGCCAGCAGGTGATGATCAACCAGCGGCTTTCCTGGGGCCGCCGACGGTGGAGATCGAGCGGTCCTCTGACGTGAAGGCAGATCCGATCCCCATGGGCCCGCAGTACTACGACCACCTCGACGACGTGCCGATCACCACCAAAAAGGCTCTAGTCAACCCTGACGCTGCGGTACGAGTGGAGCAGCGCATCGCGGCCATCGAGGAGAAGATTCATAAGGGCCAGCAGGCTCCTCCCAAGAAGAAGAGGAGGGGAAAGGCTCAGGGCGCCACCAATGCTCTGCTGACGAGCGCAGCTCAACGAGGACGCAAGGAGGTCGCGGAGAAGTCTCTCGTGAACACCTACAAGTACCAGCCGTGCATACCAGCCAAGCGCAGGGAGTGGGGCAACATACAGAAGGCGGGTGCGGTACGTGTTCTTCCACCCGAAGAGGCAGAACGAGTTCGACAGGATCCCGCACTGGCCGCTCGGATCATGGGCTCGCACGAAGCCCCTGCTCTTCATGAATGGCAACGACGGGAGGGTGGCCAAGGCACGCTGGACCGTCCAGGGACACACCGACCCTGACCTGCTGGAGCCCAGTTGTTGGCAAGGGCTCGGTCTTCCTCATCCTGCAGACCCTGTGCACCAACAAGTGGGCGCTGCAGCTCGCGGACATCACGCCGGCTTTTACGGCAGGGGGCCCACTGGACAGGTCCCAGGGCAGGCTATTTGTGGAGCTACCACGGACAGGTGTACCAGACGTGGAAACGGGCTCACTGGTGGAGCTACTCAAGGCAGTCTATGGACTCGGAGACGCTCCAGTACAATGGCTGGCATCTTTCACAAGTTATGTCAACGAGGTCTGGTTTCAGTGCTCCATCTTTGACGGCTGCGTCTTCTACCTCAGGGACGACGAGGGCTTGCGCGGCGTCATGGGGCTTACGGTGGACGACATCGCGGGCGGTGGCGACCAGAAGTTCGATGAGGCCTGCAGGAAGTTGCGTCATAAGTTCCCCTTCGGTGCCTGGCGTCTCAAGAAGGGGAAGTACACGGGCAAGGAGCTCGACCAGAACGACGACAACACGGAGATCACGATATCGCAATGTCAGAGCTCCGCCAATATTCAATTGATCGACATCGCCACAGAGAGGCGTAAGACGCCGCAGTCACCAGTGACGCCAGCAGAGTTGCATCAGGCACGGAGCCTGCGCGGCTCCATTTCGTTCCTGGCGCGGGAGAGCCGCCCCGATCCCGAATCTCACCGTGGGCGACATGCTGGAGGCAAATCGCATTGGCCGCATGACCAAGGAGTTCTGCGACGTAGTGCTCAAGGTACGACACATCCCTTTTCACGAGCTGGCCTTCGCCGCCTTCAATGACGCTGCTTGGGCCAATGCACGAGATGGAGCTTCACAAGCAGGATACATCGCGTTCGCTACGCAGAGTAAGATCCTGAAGGGCGAAGCGGCCATCATCTCCATCCAATCCTGGAAGAGCCGCAAGCTGAAGAGGAAATGTGCTCACCAGTTTGGCGCGGAGGCGTTGGCCATCTCTAAGGGCATGGCTATGGCGGAGCTCATCAGGACCATGCTGCTGGAGATCGTCGGCCCCGAGTTCGATCTGATGCGCCCTTGCCTGCTCGCTGGTCGTTTTCCCGTCATCAGTGTGACAGATTCCAGGGGCGGGCACGATCATGTTACTAGCCCCAAGGCGGACTGGCGGAGGACAAGAGGGCAGCGATCGACGTGGCCATCGTGCGCTCAGCAATGCAGCGACCTCAGGTTCACCTACGATGGATCGAGGGTGCCAGTCAGCTGACCGACCCACCCACCAAGCGCAAGGGTGAGAGTACGCTACTTCGACACGCTCTGGAGCTGGGTGAGTACGGCATCACCGCGGACAGCATCGTGCTACGCCGACGGGAACAAGAACGACAGATGAGGAAGAAGAAGGGCGACCATACTTATGCCTGCTCGGTGGAGTGCTGTTTTTTTTCCAGGACTGGACCTGTACGAGATGGACTGCACGGGCACCCTCAAGCGCGACTACGAGGAGGACGACCTCAACTACGAGCCCGAGGCCGATCGGTGGATCCGAGAGGCACAGGAGGTCTACCAGGCCCAGACCATCGAGAAGCCATTGCACGTGCATGGAGACTCAAGGAATTCATCGGGTTCTAAGCAGTGGACTGTGACCAGTGTGAATCTGAAAGCGCGGGGTGCGCTTTCCAGTGCTCTATGTGCTTAGCTGAGAACCCGAGACCCCTTTTCCTTAACCGTTTGGGTTCAAGGGGAAGGGGGTCCGTCGACCCCCTTCCAGGAGTGCAGCTTGTCATGTACTGAAAAGGTGTTCGCTATCTTTACCTCCCGTTCAGAGTATTTCGGATTGTTTCAGATATCTTGGCAACCTTCGATGTCTTGGGAACCATCCACATCCGGGAACATGATTTCCGGGATCCCAGGACGCCAAAGGACAGCCCCCAGAGGCCCCAGACACGCCGAAGATGGCCTCAGGACGGCCGACGACGCCACCAAAACGCCCCAAGAGCGTCTCCAGAGGCCCCTGGCCCCAGAAGCCGAAAATCATAAATTTTCCAATGGTTTTTGAAGCATTCTGACGCTCTCCCGTGTTCCGCCTCCCCACGGTCCCAGACCGCGTCAGAGGCCCTTCAGATCGCTCCAAGACGGCCGAAGAGGCTCCCAAGAAAGCCCGGAAACGGCCCAGGAGGCCCCCCAGATAAGTCAAGAGGGCCTCGAGAGCGCCCCAAGAGAGCCCCAAGAGCGACCCACGAGGGCCGGAAGAGCGCGATATTTCGAGGTTTCCAGCCTGAGAGGTTCCTAAGACGCCCCCGGAGGCCATCAATAGGCTCCCTAGAAGCCCCGTGAGGCTCCCAAGAGGCCATCCGGAAGCCCCAGTAGGCCTCCAAGGGACCCCCAGGGAAACCCCCTGCGGGCCCCCAAGACATTTCGGTAAATCGTGTTCCCCAGATAGCTTTCCGGGAACATGATTCCTTGGCCTTCCGCCCACCGCCCCAACCATGTTTCCAATAGGCTTTCCAACAAGGCCAAAAGGCGCCCCTCGATAAGCCCCCAGAGGCCCCCTCTTAAAGAGCCGAAGAAATCATGGTCCGGAAAGCTTCCCGGGAACATGAATCTCTACCTCGGAGTAGGCCCGGGGGGGGGGCGGGCCGCTGCCTGTTCCCCCCATCGGTGCCCACCAGGGGTTGCGGGAGGGGAGTCCAGAGCTCCCGAGGCGGCCCGAGCCCGCCCCGAAGCAGGCCGACGAAAACTCCTTCCCACTCCAGGACGGACTCGAGAGGCACCCCAGGAGGGCCCTGGAAGGCAAGATTCACTCGTTTTCCGAGTGTTTTGGATTTTGGCGTTCTCGTTTTTTCCGCTTTCCAGCGCTCCCTCACAGCCTCGGAGGCCTTTCACATCGCTCCAAGATATCCCACGAGGCCCCGACGAGGGCCCCAAGACGGCCCAGGATGCTCCCCAGACAGCCCAAGTGTGCCCCAAGAGCGGCCAAGAGAAGGCCCAGAGGGGTCCCGAGGCGGCCCGAGCCCGCCCCGAAGCAGGCCACGACAGGCTAATGGAGGTCCCGAGAGGGCCCAAGACGGTCCCAAGAGGCCCCGAAGACGCCCAAGTTGCCTTCAAGACGGCCGACGAGGACTCCAGCGCGCTCCAGGACGGACCCACGAAGCTCCCCAAGAGGGCCCTCGGAGGCAAGATTCACTAGTTTTCCTATGGTTTTTGAATGATTTAGGCGTTTCGCTTTCCCCGCTTCCCAGCGCTACCTCACGGCCTCGTTCGGAGGCCCTTCAGATCGCTCCAAGACGGGCCTCGAGGCCCCGAAGAGGGCCCCAAGACGGCCCAGGAGGCTCCCCAGACAACCCAACTGTGCCCCAAGAGAGCCCCAAGAGAGGACCCAGGGGGGGACCGCCAACCGATATTTCGAAGTCTCTGGCCCTAGAGGCCGCCTGTAGGCCCCCGGAGGCCACCAAGAGGCTCCCACGAAGCCCCGTGAGGCGCCCAAGAGGCCCCCAGGAAGCCCCAAGAGACCCCCAAGGGGCTCCCAGGGAACGCCCAAGAGGCCCCCCAACACACCCCAAGAAATCATGTCCCCAGAAAACCTTCCAGGGACATGGTTCATCATGGGCCCGAGAGTTCCCGGAGGCCCCCAAGGGGCCCCCAGGGAACGCCCAAGAGACCCCCCCAACACACCCCAACAAACCATGTCCCCAGAAAGCCTTCCGGGGACATGGTTCATCATGGGCCCGCGAGTCGCCGGAGGCTTCGAAGTACCATCATGCTACAGGAGAGCTGTCTGGGAAGTTGATTGGGAACATGACTGATCGCCTTCTCGCGGCCCTCCGCAAATCGTTTCGCACAAAGTTGCCCCAAGTGCCCTCTTGAATCGACGACGACGACGACGACGACGACGACGACGACGACGACGACGGCGCGCCCAATAGGCGACGACAACATTACGACGACGACGACGACGACGACGGCACGCCCCGACAGGCTCCCCAAGACGCCCCAAACCCATGCTCCATGAAGGCCTTCTGGGAACCCGATTCATACGGCCTCCGCCACCCCTACACAACCATTTCCTCGAGGGCCTTTCGGAATGCAGATTGGCAGGTTTGGACTGTGGTCCACTACTTCAGTGGAGCAGTGAATTCGTCAAGGCCAGGGGCCTGCTAGAACCTGAGCGCGCGCGAAGCGCGCGCGATGGTTCTAGTATGTATATATACACATATATATACATATATATGTATACATACGCATACATACATACATACATACATACATACATATATACATACATACATACATACATACATACATACATACATACATACATACATACATACATACATACATACATACATACATACATACACATACACATATATATATTTATGTGTATGTATGTATGTATGTCTGTCTGTCTGTCCGTCCGTCCGTCCGTCCGTCCGTCCGTCTGTCTGTCTGTCTGTCTGTCTGTCTGTCTGTATGTATGTATGTATGTATGTATGTATGTATGTATGCGTGTATGTACCTATATATACATGTATATGCTGTATGTACAGATGTATATATGTGTGCGTGTGCGTGTGCGTGCGCGTGCGCGGGCGCGGGCGCGGGCGCGGGCGCGGGCGCGGGCGCGGGCGCGGGCGCGGGCGCGGGCTCCGGAGCGGGCTGCGGGGGCGGGGATGGGGTGCGGCCGTGGGCGGAGGCGCGGGCACGGGCGCGGGTGCGGGCGTTGTCGCGGGCGCCGGCGCTGGCTGCCGGTGCGGGGGGAGGGGGGCGGGAGCGCGGGGGTCGGGGAGGTGAGGTGGGTGGGGGGGGGATGGGGTTGGAGGGGGTGTGGGGAGTGGAAGGAGCGGGGAGGCGGGGGGGGGGGCGGAGGGGGGCGGGGACGGGGCGGGGACGGGGCGGGGGCGGCGGGGGGGGGAGGGGTGGTGGTGGGGCGTGCTGGGGTGGTGGGGTGGTGGGTTGGTGGAGTGGTGGGGTGGGGGGGAGGGAGGGGGAGAGAGGGGAGGGGGGAGGGGGGCGTATGGGTCATGTTGCAACCAGAACGGCCATTTCACGACCAGATGGGGCGCTTTACAACCAGCATAGGTTTCCCGAGAAGGTCAGTATACAGCCAGGAAGGCCACTTCACAACCAGGCGAGCAAACGCACATAAGCGACACATGTTCTTCAATGTCCGATATCCCCGTGGCTCCACGTCAGGGAGACACTTCATTCTCTGAAGCGTGTTGCGTGTTGGTTGTAAAATGACCCGTCTGAAGCGACGATATGTGAAGCGGCGGGTTCCTAGTTGGATCCAACGGGAATCTTATTGGAGTCCCAATGGCACCTTCACCACTGGGATCCTGTTGGCACCAGATGAACCCCAGTGGTATCCAACAAGATTCCTCGATATGAGCCTTTCGGCCTACGGGTGTCCTATTGGAATCCGATTGGGATGTTTCCTGTTGAAGCCCGTTGGGGCCCTTCCGCATGGAAACCGATTGGAACCCCCACTGGGTTACAATCGAAAAACCTTCCTATCAGAATGCTGTGGGAAAAGCACTGGGGGGTACTACGTGGAAACCTGGTGGGTATTGTTGTGGGTTCTCCTTCGAAAGCAGTAGGAACCACTTTTCTTGGAATCCCATCAGAAACACATTTGCGAGTACGACGGATACCGCATTCAAATCAAACCGGAACCCTTTCTTTTTCGATCCGTGCGGGCATACTACCGGGATCCCACCAGGACCCAAGTGAAACTCAACAAAAATTTTTTCTTTATTGACCCAGATTGTGCCCCGATTGGCGTCCGATTGTTATCATTGTGGTATCCAGAAGGAGCTATTGGAACCCAATTGAGATTAAATCGAGATCCTCCCGCTACAGGCTGGTGACAGGCCTGTGTGGTTCAATGTTTTCTATATACAATGTTTTACAGCCATGCCCTACATATAATTGTTTTGGAGCCTCGTATCCTCCGCCTGAAAATCCTGCCTCGTCTGGGAAAAGAGAACAGTAAACGCTTGCCGCAAAAGACGCAGAGGAACACGCGCACTCCCAGAAGAGTAGGAATGTGGGTAAGAAGTCGTCGGTACAATTCTAGCCAATACCTTCGGGTTGCATTGTTAACATGCTTTGCCCTCGCGCCTCATCGCCTGGTAACGACGCAACCGTATGCTTTCGCATGTGCGGAAGCATGCGCACCCAGGAAAGCGGAAATGTGGCGAAGAAATCATTGGTCAATCTCTAGCCAGTACACGTGGAGTTTACATGGTTGCATTCTGCATCGGGAACCATGCTTGTCACCGCGCCTCCTCGTTTGGCAAAAGCAAACACATTAGGTTTTCAGGATTGCGTTTGCATCCGTGGTCGCATGCGTACCCAGGAGGGCGGACATGTGGAATCGAGCAGAAGCATGCGTACCCAGGAGGGCAGAAATGTGGCCAAGGAGTCGTTTGCAAAACTCTATCCAATTCATGTGGGTTTCAAATTGTCGCTCATAATGAAACTATCGCCCGACCGCGGGCGTGATTTCTTGATCGGGGTCCTTTCTCGCCGCTCCCGCCCGCTATCCCATCATCCGCATGTCCCTGGTCCTGCTCGTGTTCCAGATTTTGCGGTAGTTCCTCTTCCTCCTCTTGTTTTCGTTTTCCCCCAACTCCTCCATACGCCATTGTTTTCTTCCTCCCCACTCATGTCCTCCCAAATACATTCTAACCCTGTGCGCGCGCATGACCTGATAGGGGCAATTCGGGAGATTACACGCACACTCGCCGGCGGATTCTTAGAACAATCAACGCAATAGGGAAGGATGGGTGGACTGAGTATGATGTCAAGTATGGCGCGAGTGCACCTAGCTTATCTTCCTCGAGGCCCCCCCCCACACTTGCCTCCCCCTCTTCTGATTGATTGCACTTGCGTGCTCATCCCGCCCATTCTGCCCATTCTCCCTCCTCCTCCTCCTCCTCCCTGCCCGTTGTCCCTCCTCGCCCTCCTCTCTCCTCACCCATTCCCCTCTTCCCCATATCCTCCTGTTCCGTCCCGTCGCCCTTCTCATCCTCTGTCTCCTCCTCCGCCACCCACTCCTCACATTCCCTGCCTCCACCTCCATCCTCTCTCCCCCCTCCTCCCTCCTGCCCGCCTCTCCCCCTCCGCGATGCTACCCACTTTTGGGAGCTCGACAAGGCCGCCCGAGGCTGCCAGCCCTCTTCGATTGGAGAGGCGATTGATGGCCAACTTGTTGTGTCCCTCGCTTGCTCAATATGACGGTTCCGGGTCGTGGAGGCGAGCCCTCCAGCCAGTGGCGAAAGCTGCCCAATCGATCGGGATGCGCCGCCGCCGACCCTTTCCCAGCCCGATGGCGCTCGTTGCCCTGCAGTTCGCTTGCCAGTCGGTGCCCGCTCGCCTAGCTTTAAATCGGGCCTGTTCCTTCATAGGAGGAAAATTCAATAAGAGTTGAAAAGTAGTCTGGGGACGATGTTTCGACTATTTTTGAGCATCTCCGCTGGGTATTTTCGGACACTTTTAAATCTGTCATCCAGAATCCGCATGTAGGGGGACACGCCCGACTCGAGTCTAGCTCCCCGCGGGGGGCGAAAGAGGCACGGGGCAAGAACCCCGCCGTGGACGAGAGGGGTCCTGAGTAGGGGGCCACATGCGAACCCTACACCTACCCCCCACGATCTCTGAGGGGGAAGGTGGGGTTCACTTCGTTCGGGAGCTCCCGAGCGAAGTGAACCCCACCCTCGCCCGAGCCGCGGAGACAGGGCATTCACGGGGGGCCCCAGGAGCGGTGAGGCACCCCCGGGAACCGCACGCCTCCAGGTTTGAGCTCCGAGGCACCCCAGGAAGCCTCAGGGACCCGACGGAAGATCCATACACAAACTTCCCTTAACGCGAAGGAGAAAAAGAAACGCCGTACTCATAAACTGTTGGCGCTCCGCGCGGATTTTTTTCGGGGATCGGCGCTTGGGCCCCCCTGGCGGTTTTCCGGCGCCGCCCCTTGGCGCGAGGGCCCAGATCCAAGAAGTCCGCGCGGGGCGCCACAAGTTTATGCTTGTGGCGTTTTTTCTTCTGCTACGGGATGCCCTCGGTCGTCGACGCCACTCGTCGCGTGGCGCCGCGAGGAGCGCCCCCCCCCCCCCCCCCCCCCCGCGAGGGCCACACCACCCCGGGGCCCGGCCCGCCTCTCGCGCCGCCCTTCTGGCGCCGCCGCCTCCCCCCCTCCCGCAGGCATGGCGCCTGCGCCGTGCCCGCCAGCGCTCCCACATGGCGCGGCGCCATGAGGCGCTGCTGTTCGCGCGGCAGTCGGCGCGCTCGGCGAGGACCTCCTCCCCGCCCTCCCCCTTCTACTAGTCTTCCTCCTCCTTTTCCTAAACGTGCTCCTCCGTCTCCTCATCCTCATCATCCTCAACCGCCTCCTCCTTCTCCTCCTCCTCCTCCTCCCCCTCCTCCTCCCCCTCAAGGCCAGTCAGGTGGGCCAGGTGGCCCCTGGAGCACCGCTCCAGGGACCACAGGCGACGCACGTGTCTTTACACGTAGAGCTTAAGCTATACGATCTTCCTCCTCCTCTTCATTATCATTATCATCCTTCCCTCAGTCCTCTTCCGCCTCATCCTCCTCCTCCTCCTCCTCCTGCTCCTCCTCCTCATCTTCTTCCTCGTCCTCCTCCTCCTCCTCCTCCTCCTCCTCCTCCTCCTCCTCCTCATCCCCCAATCCTTCCCTGTCGCATCCCGAGGCCAGTGTGAATGGTGAACTGGGCGTTTCGCTTGAGACTTCCTTACCATTTATGGGCCTCAAACTGAAAACAGGCAACAGTTTCACATATGGAGGGCGGGTGGCTTCCAAAATGCGGCTCTCGCCTGCGCACCGCGCACATTCGTTTGAAACATTGCAGGTGCTTCACGGATTGAGGGCGGTTCGTTTTCAAAATGTGGGTTTCGCGGTAGCGCCGCGCACATTGATTTTTTAAAACTTGCAAGAGTTTCACGCATTGAGGGCGACCGCTTTCAAACATGGAATTTTCGCGCTAGCCTTGCGCATATTCGTTGTGACTATTTGCAAGGGTTTCGCGGATTGAGTGCGGTTCGGTTTCAACATGTGGTTCTCGTTTTACCGCCGCGCACATTCGTTGTTAAATTGTGCCAGGGTGTCACGGATTGAGGGCGGTTCGTCTTCAATATGCGGTTTTCGCCGTAGCGCCTTGCAGATGTTTCGCAATTGCAAGGGATCACGGATTGAGAGCAGTTCGTTTTCAAAATGTGGTTCTCGCCTTAGCGCCGCGCAAAGCAACCTAACAGCCATGTGTAGGAGCATATCTGGCAGCATTCCCTCAGCCTGCATCAGCCTCAGCCTCAGCACGAAGCGACCTAGCTAGAAGGACAAAGCGCTGAATGTACACCGATGTGTTCGACGACTGCTTCTCAGCCTGCGCCGCCTCGCGGTGCTTCTCAGCCTGCGGAGGAAGGTGGACAGACGCCTGGTTCTGGCGCTGTGCAGCCTGCGTCTTTCACGGTCGCCTCGTTCAATTTCGGGTTCGAGCAGGGCATGATGACTGGTAAGCAGGCGGCCACTCACTGCGCTAACTTCGGAAGGTTGTGCGCCAAGATAGTGGAGACCGCTGATGCTGATATGGTCTGTGGCTGCGAGGTCGGTGCGTTCCGTGAAGGCTTTCGCCGAGCAGGGATCAACGTGACAGAGATCCTCAGTAAGCCTTTCGGTGATGGCATTCGCTTCTTGGAGGTCGACAACTACTTGACTCTCTGGGGGTTCCGCGGTGCTTCTCAGCCTGCGGAACTGACTCTGTGCGAAGACAGCAAAGTTTACAGGCCTCCTAGCGGCCGAGATATTGATGCTGTTATTTCACATTTTGAGGTGAACAAACCAGGCCATGACAAGTTCCACGTGGTGATCGCCAACATGCACATCGTGTGCGGCAAGAAACCGCCGAGCATCCAGACTCGAAAGCGGACAGTTCGCCATCTCCGCTTGCACCTGGACGGCCTGGCCAAGATTCTTGAGAATCTAAACGAGGCAGTCGTTGTGCTTGTAGTCGGCGACGACAACCTCACTTTCCAGGAGGCGCGGGAGGCTTACCAGCGCGAGCAGAACGACGAGAAGGTATGGGAGGTCCATGCCACTCCGGCCGACCTCAAAGGCGACCACGTCGCGGTCTGCGGAGCAGTCGCCCGTTTCTGCTCCATTGCCGTTGGCGCGTCTTTTACGGATCGTGGCATGCGCAACGACGCACACGATGCGGTGGCGGTTGTGCTCACTCTCCCTGGTGCTATTCAGCCTGGGGAGAGCAAGAGGCGGAAAATTGTCGTCGAAAACGTCTCCGACGCCGACGTCAGCGTACAGGCGGACCGCGAGTCTTCTGTGCATTGGGATCGGTCGCCGAGTTCTGCTCCTCCGCTTTCACCGACTTCACCGGGTGATCCCGACTACGTCGAGGATGTCGTTCAGAATCGCGCGGACGACTTGCACAGGGAGCTGAGGAAGCTTTGGGACGACAGGTACGACGAGGAGTACGATCCGAAAGTCCTCCATCATCTCAGTCTCTTGCTTTTCAAAAAGAGGAAGTCCACGGAGCCAGCGGACACTGATCCAGCTGGCGCTCCTCAGCCTGGCTCGGAATATGACACGGCCTTTGCGTCTCAGGAGGAGACTGGCCGAGCCATTCTCTCTGTCCTTAAGCTTCGACATGACTTTCTGCGGAGCAAGAACATCGACGACATGCGCTACGTTCTCACGGAGCCTGAGCGCCAGGAATTGGTCAGAGTAGCTCGCGACCAGTACGAGCAGTCGCGGCAGCAGCGTGCGCTTCAGGAACGGGATATCGAAAAGGGAAAAGCGAAAGGCAAGTCTGCGCCACAAGGGGGCCATGCGGTTCCGCAGGGTCCGAACAAAGGGCCAGGCGGTAAGAAAGGTTCTCACGGTGCTTCTCAGCCTGCGGGAAAAGGTGGCCAGGCCAAGGGTGCAGGTCTGGGTAGCGTCGCCAAGTTTGTGAAAGACCAGAAGCGTAAGCGGTGGCATCGCCATTTGCAACGTGTGGCCGGTACTAAACAGATCTGGGAGGTGCTGGCCTTCTCAGGGCGCTTCGACGTTGATTGGTTAACGCAAGCGTTGCAAGCTGATCACAGTGAGGGCCGTGATGCAGCAGTTCCCGAGGAAGCTCTGCGGCAACAGCGGCGCCGGCTGCACCACCAGAAGGCCGAGGCCATCGCGCGCTACAACGAGGGGGAGCGGCTTTCCCTATATCTGTCTGCCCAGGCTGGCCAGGCAAAGCCGAACTTCACGCGCAGGCAGCAGGACGTGTTGCAGATGTTTGAGAGCGGAGCGCTGCTTCAAATCCGCAACCAAGCGATTCTGGCGTGCGGGCACGGCCGTCTGTTCAGGGGCGATGGCGACTACCTGGACATCGGCGGCAGCACGGGCGGTGGCTCCAGGCGCATCATCGATTCTTGGCAGCCGCCGGACTGGCGTGACTTCCTCCAAGACGATCAGGACATCTGAGTTTTGCAAGTCTCTCTGCCCGCGGTGCTTCTCAGCCTGCGGTCTGCCGCTCTCCAGCTGCGGTCTCGAGCAGTAGTGTTCGAAAGCATGCGAGTTCCTGCGGTGCTTCTCAGCCTGCAGGTTTCGCAGCCTGCGCTCTGCAGTACAAGTGCTTTTCAGCATGCGACATCCTGCGGTGCTTCTCAGCCTGCAGGGTTCGCAACGTGCGGTTTGCAATGCATTCCTTTTCAGTATGCGAGTTCCTGCGGTGTTTCTCAGGCTGCAGGGCTCCGAGGCTCTTCGCTTCGATGCCAATGTTTTCAGACACCGTAGCTCCGTTCCGTAAACGTCTTCCAAGAGCCGCTCGCAACCTTTTGCAGCTGGCTGTCTGCACGCTTCGCCGGCTTTTGCTGCGCGGACAATTTTCTCACACACGTCAGCGCCGTTTGTAGGCGTCAGAAAAACATGTAGACATTCACGAAGGGCTCAGTCTGTATATCGTCACATCATTACATACGCAGTCGTCGAACACATCGGTGTACATTCAGCGCTTTGTCCTTCTAGCTGGGTTGCTTCGTGCTGAGGCTGAGGCTGATGCAGGCTGAGGCTGAGGCAGGCTGAGGCTGAGGCCGAGGCTGACGGCAGACTGAGGCTGAGGCTGAAGCAGGCTGAGGCTGAGGCAGAGGCAGGCTGAGGCTGAGGCTGAAGCTGAGGCAGGCTGATGCTGAGGCAGGCTGAGGCTGAGGCTGAGGCTGATGCAGGCTGAGGTTGAGGCAGTCTGAGGCTGAGGCCGAAGCTGAAGGCAGACTGATGCTGAGGCTGAAGCAGGCTGAGGCTGAGGCTGAGGCAGGCTGAGGCTGAGGCAGGCGGAGGCTGAGGCTGAGGCAGGCTGAGGCTGAGGCTGTGACTGCGACTGCCGTTGCCACTGCGACTGTCATCGCGAATGCGACTACGACTGCGAGAACAGCAGAACTCTACAACTGGATTCTCATTTGAATCTTAAGGGGAATGCTTCCAGATATGCTCCTACACATCGCTGTTAGGTTGCTTTGCCGGGATAATTTTTTGAATTTGCCAGGGTTTCGTTGGTTCTCGTGGTCGTACCCGAGATGGTGCTTTGGAGCGATTCCAGAGTATCAGGGCGCAACGGTTACGTGGATTCGCGGTGTTGACGCCCCCAGGAATGGCGTTCTGGCACGATTCAGGATCGCCAAGACGCAACAGGCAGGCTGACTCGTTTGACGCGTGGCGTGGAAGCCCTGAGAAGGGTGTGTTGGCACGCTTAAGGATGTTCGCACTTGCAGCGGCCTATGAAGGGGAAGCTTTGAGGAAACATATATTCTAGACGCTTCGCGTATCCCCACCAGCCCATCCAGAAACGATGCCCAGGAAAGCTGACGGAAGAAGGGAAGAAGAGACTCACATAGTGAACCGGAGCGGGCAACAACGGTGAAGTGGGAGATCTTTTGTGGCGAAGGTTGCAAGTGTTATTGCTGGTGCTCTTGCTCCTGCTGGTACTGCTGCTGCTGCTGTTGCTGTTGCTAGTGCTGCTGCTGTTGTTGCTGATGGTGCTGGTTCTCGGATGATGAGTAGACGGATAAGGGGGAGGAGGAGGAGGAGGAGGAGGCGGAGGAGGAGGAGGAGGAGAAGAAACATAAGGACAAGGAAAAGGAGGAGGAGACAGGGCGAACATATGATCCTCTTAGGATGTCTCTTGGGGGTTGTTTTGGAAACCTCTTGGAGCGCCTGGGGGGGATCTTGGGGGCTTCGGGGATCCTCGTGAAGCCTCTTCGGGTCTCTTGGAGGTCTCTTGAATGCCTCTCGGAGCCTC